AACTCCTGCAAAGTCCAGAAGCAGGAGCAGAGGTTGTTTGAAGGACTTCTTGAGAATGAAGAAGCCATTGGAATATAGGCAGTCCCTAGATGGATGGTTTGGAAGTGCTGGGTAACATCTGGCCACATGTTGCACTGGCCCTACATTGCCCAAGCAGAGAGGATCCCCAGAGCATGCTGAGGGTGAATTCATGAAAATGAACTCAGATTAAAGGGCTAAATTCCTAAAGAAATAAAACAATGACCAAAAGGAACTATGAGATATTCTTCATATCTTTGCAACTCTTTCTTGACAACGCTAGTGACTTTTCCTTTCCAGATAAATGTTCTCCCAGGCTTTTGCAGGTTACCCTTGTGCCATTCATAGCTAACTGTGCTCATCCTCTTTCAACCACATCTTGGAGCACCTGAGGAGGGAGACCAGTTGACTTGGACAGGGTTCTTTCCAGTAGCAATGACTTCCTGGTGAGCCATTTACTTATGCCCATGGAATGCTCTGTGTGGCCTTTCCTAAAAATTTTTTTTCCCTATTTCCTCTGCTGCCTGCAAGCACTTTGGGTTTTAATTACCTGGAAATTTGCCCTATTTCTCTGTGTTTCCCTTCATGTCAACATTCCTTTTTTTAAAAAAAAATTAATATTTATTTTTAGTTTTAGGTGGACACAAAATATCTTTATTTTACATTTTGGTTCTCAGGATCGAATCCAGTGCCTGATGCATCATGCTAGGGGAACACTTTACCACTGAGCCATAACTCCAGCCCCCATGTCAACATTCTTAAAGAGCTACACCTATCAACTGGGTGAACTTCCTGAAAGCTAGAACATTCCTCATGTTTCTGGATACTTACCAGTCTGCTTTTTAGACCCTGCTCTCCACAGGACCAGTAATTAACAAGGTCCCTGAGGACTTTGAGCTAGCAAACAAGAACATATTTCTCCACCCTGTTATCTTAGAGCTTGCAGAAAACAGCTTCACAGTGTCTTAATTAAGGAGGTAACAACAGGGAGGAAGAAGACAAGATAGAGAGGCAAACAATGAATTGTTTCTCAACCTACCTCCCAAGATCACCTCTTAGACTTCACCATCAATCTTGATTCATTTACATCCATATATATGGATCATCCACTATATATAATTTGTAATAGATCTACATATTTTTGTCCTTCCTCTTGCTATCTGCGCTGGTTAATGCATAGCTAAGAAGTTCTCAACCATCTACAAGCTTATCTGGACAGACCTTTTATTCATGTTGGAAATATCATCTTTCTCTGACAAAGTCCACGTACTCCAGAAGAGTAGGAAGCAGATGCAACAGGAAATAGCTTACAGGAGGAATTGACCAGCAATGACCTCTAATTCCTGACCACAAATCAATAGAACAATGGTCCAATCTTCTAATCTTCATTATTGCCCTTTGGTTTGATTAGGTTGAGACTTGGACTTAGCTTGGGATGAACTAGCTCCTAGAGCAATTTAGCTTGACTATCTTAGAAGCTAAACCAAACACTAAAATGATCAAATAGGATGGCCAGTCTCCAGAGCTTGGAAACCAGCCAGTGACCCACCATTAAAGCAATGTTTCCCAAGAGTTTCCATGATAAGGGTTGAGTCTCCTTAAGAACAAGGACTTGGTGTCACTCATTTTTGAGTCCCTGAGGAGGGGGTGCCTGACACAGAGAAGGTACCAGCTACTTCCTGGGACCCAAACTGCATAAACAGACAAAAGTGACAACAAGATTCTTAGGCAACTATCTCAACTGGCTAATGTGAAAAAATTCCAAATAAAGTTTGAATAAAGCAAAGGAGGAGAAGCAAAGGGGGTGGGGAAGAAGGGACATGATGGAGATAAAATCAATTCTTGTTATTCACAGTCATTATGATCTATAAGTCACTGTGAACACTGGGTTAGTGAATATTGGGGGAAATACTGGGTTAGGTGCTGGTCACATTTTCATCAACTGACGAACCTTGATTTACATGTACTTTCTGTCTAAAGGTGCCTTACTTAATATACAGTTGATTTATTAATATTGAGCCAACATTCAACAGCTCATGTCTGAAGGAAGCTTGTCTAACATACGTGATCTTTCCTTAGGACACTTCATGGCTTTCTTGTGCTTAAAAATACTTAGCAGCACTTCAGCGCTGTGTGTGGGAACCATTTTAAGTCCTGAAATCACCAAAAACAAAGAATTCAAAAAGATATAGCACTAAGTGAATTGCTAAAACAAACAAACAAACAAAATCCCACTTGTTTATAGTATGAGAACTGAAATAGCATCAGGTGACTCATTTCTGCACAGATCCGTAAGTGCCATAAAAGTACTTCAAGTACTGATTATGGTAACTTTTAGCAAGTGGGCAAATTTTCAAGCACAAATCCACAAATAAGGAAGATCAGCTGTATATATATCTGTGTGTTTGTGGGCTTATTTATTTACTTTTATTTGTAGATTAAACAATATTCAAGACAAACTCAAAGATGTTGGCTATTTATTTATTTTTGTGTTCCTGGGAATTAAGTCCTGGGGTGCTCTACCACTGAGCTACATCTCAGCCCCCTTCTTTGTATTTTTTGAGATAGAGTCTAAGTTGCTGAGGCTGGCCTTGAACTTATTATCCTTCTACCTCAGCCTCCCAAGTTGTTGGATTACAGGTGTGAGCCACCATGCCCAGCAAGAGATGTTGTTGCCTCTTTAAAAAGTGCAGCCTGGCTTAGTCACCAAGACACGGAGAGTGAAGCTAGAAGGTAGAGAGAAGAGTAACAAGACAAAAGCAACTTGTTCCCCACAATGGCAGCCCCTGAAAGCAGTGGTGGTAGTAATCAGCTAGCAGCAGACCCTAAGGGGTCCAGTCTAGAAGGGCTGAGGGGGTTATGTGCTCTCAAGCAAAACAATTGTATTGTTGGTCTACAGTGACATGCATGTGATGCATGTGCAAATGTAGCACCCCTGTCCATTCTGCCATCTCCCACACTTGGCCTTGGGCATGTCAGGACCAGTCCTCTCACCACCTGGAGGCCTCACACAGTCCTATCCTGAGGTTCCTGCATTCAGTGTTCTATCCCAGGGCAGCAACCACAGGTACATGGGAGTTAGAGCTACCCTAGTGAGGGACAGACCTCCAATATGTCATAATCCAACAAGTGATCATCTACGGGCTCCATTTTGAGAGCTGGATCCCAGGGGAAGAGAGAGATGGAAAGAGTCAGGTGATTTGGGGGTAGAAGCTTCATAAATTAAACAAGCAGCCCAAAGAGCTGTTGGGGACATTTTCTTTACAGATTGGTGACATATGCTATTTGGTGAGAATCTCCATTTTGGCAGCTCCTACCCAATGTCTTTTCAAATCTGGTGAAGAAGTGAGTGAAAACAAAACAAAACACAAGGAGCATGGCCAGAGAATGAATGGCCATGGAGACATTAGTGGATGCTTAAGGGCATCAGTATTGGCTCATCAGGCTCAAAAATTATATCCTTATATTGAGATTCGTATTTTTCAAAGCACTTTTATATAAGTCATCTCATTAATTTCCAGATTAAATTTGTATCATTGAGGCGTCAGATATTAATACACACATATAATCAGTTAACTGAAACACAGGGAAGTCAAGTTATCTGAGCAAGGACATACAATGAATGGCACCAGCCAGCCCTGCAGCCCATGATTTCCTGACTGACTGCATGCCAGGAAGCGGCTCTCAAGTGTGGACCTAGACCCCTCAATTATCTCTTCCAAGGCAGTCCCCCCCATTCACAGCCCCTGGCAGGAAGGGGTGTAGGTAGTACCTAGTACAAAGGGCCCAAGCTCTAGAAGGCCCACCTAGGGGAAGTGTGGGCTTCCGCCCTAAGGACTGACAGATGTGGCAACAGGACCCAGAGCCAGTGATGCTGCTGGTCTGGTTCCCCGAGTTGGGGAACAGCCTGCCAGGAAGGCAAGCCGGCAACCTGTGCCAGGCCAAACAGGCAATTAGCACCCACAGAAACCCTGCTGCCCAGTGACTGCTCAGGGCCATGAAACCCTGGGCCTGCTGGTTCCTGGGCAGAGGGTAGGTGAGTGGGGAGCTGGAGGAGAGTCCCACACAAGGGCCCTGCACTTGGTTTTACTCTGCCCCCAAGGTCAGGTGAGTTTGTCAGTTCAGGCAGGGGCCAGGTGGGCCTCAGAATACTGTCCTTTTTCCAGAATCGATTTGCTCTTGCCTCTCTTGGTGGTTAGAGCCCTGTTCTCCTCTTTACCCACCTCCAGTCAAGGTGATTTTTCTGGCTGCTTGTTTTCTAATATTTGCCAAATGCTAATTTTTTATAGTTCCCACTTCCACCAAACAATTCATCACTTTCCCATCTTCCCTCTGTGCCTTTAGATAGAAGCATCCTTCAGTCTTCCTAGCACTTTCCCCAGATTGTCTGCACTTGTAATCCCAAGAAGAGCAGAGGCTGCTGGAAGAGACACCAGCCCTGATTGACCCAATTGGGAGTGCTGGTACATTCCTGGCACTGCCTATACACTCAACCTGGGACAAGCCAGCCATGGATAAGGAGCTGGGTGCAAATCAGACGCAGTGGCCCAGCCAGGGGTGCATTCTCCCTTGTTCCAAGGAACAGTTTGGATTGGATGGGAAGGTAAGCTCTGAAGCCAAGCTCTGGGGCTTCCTCAAAGTCATTGTCTGACTTTTAGATTTGGAAGCTTCAATCCATCAACCAAGGAGAAAAAGGACAGACCCACATGAGTCAGTGCAGGTGTCTGGGTCAAGGGCTAGAGGACAGAAACACAACCATCTTAGGAAAGCAACTTCTGAGGGGTTAGAGACCACAGCTGGAGCTGAGAGGAGGTGGGAAGAAGAAACCTCTCACCAAAGCCCTATTGCTACCAGTGACTGTGAGGGCTGGCATGTTCCATGGACACGATGAGGAAGGAGAATTGGAAAGTGCAGGGGTCTTCTTCAAGGGAAAATCTTGCTCATCTTTTCTTGCCCTCAGGGGAACCTGGTAAGAGACTCACCTGAAGAAGCCTTTACAGCCTTCACAGGTCATAGCATTGAAGTGGAAGCCTGTGGCTCGGTCTCCACACACCCCACAGATCCGGGGCACATTCCGGTCAAAGTCACCAGGGTCAGGCAGGGAAGTGCTGGCTGCCATCGCCTCCATCCCTGCAAGAATGGTAGTCAGGCCACAGCTAGGGTCAGAGTCAGTTCCAGGGCCAGCTGGCATCCTTTTGCATCACCATCCTACCAGAGAGCTCAGCAAAGCCTGGCAGCTCCCTGGGGCCCAAGACAGAGCGTGAGTTCTTTGGAGCTCTCACTGTGTGGCTCTCCTTCCCCAGCTAGCTCAGAGCAAGGCTGGGAATCAAACTGCCTGGGTTCAAATACTGTTATCAGCAGGGCTCCTTTAGGTGAGGTACTTGGCCTCTTTATGGCCCCACGGTCCTCATCTAAAGGCATTTTACTTCATAGGGTGCACAGAAAGGTGACCCCAGTGAACACATACATGATGCTGGTACCAGCTGCAACTCAGTAGCAGATGCCCCCATCTTTTCCACTGTGCCCTTCAAGAGAAAAATGGGAGTCCCCTAATGCCCAACCCTGAACCCTTGTCATTCCAGATCTTGCTCCTTGCAGCATGTCCTGATATGAAGGTAAGAAAAATCTTTCCCCCTGTTTTTTTTTTTTTGCAATAACATTTAACATTATATTGAACGTCCTTCTGAGTAATGTGAGTCATATACAATTAACTAATTTTGTTTTCAGAGATGGCTTTTATAAATAGACACTATCATCTAGAGATGGATTTCACACTTGAGGAAAGGGGAGAGGGAACAAAATGTCACAACGCTGGGAAGCCCTTCTCAGGAAGTGGCTAACCACTCTTCCATTAGGCAGATTGGGCCCTTGGCTTCGCCTGCCACTTCCACGATCCGACAGCTGTTAGGCTCAGAGCCAATTCTGGGACACTAAGCCCTCCCCCAAATGCTTTCAGACTCTGCTACCTTCCAGTTTTCCCCATTATATCTTTTTTTTGGGGGGGGGAGGGGATGGTACCAGGGATTGAACCCAAGGGCACTTAACACTGAACCACACCCCAGCTCCTTTTTTAAAAAAAATCTTGAGACAGGGTCTCACTAGATTTCGTACAGCTTCGCTAAGTTGCTGAGGCTGGCTTTGAACTTGTGATCCTCCTACTTCAGCCTCCCAAGCTGCTGGGATTTTAGGCTTACGGCTTCCCCATTTTATCTGAATCCTTATAAGGGCCATCACAGGTTTAAGTGGCTCCTCTGCCCCAACACAAGAGGGTTACTCAGGATTAGAAAAAAAGTAAGAGAGAAAGCCAGAAAGAAGGGATGAGTATCCCTATTCCTACCCAGGCCACCATTTTTTCCCATTCCCCCAGGGGAAAGGGGTAGATTCTGGGTCTCTCAAGGTGGGGTGCTGAGCTGCTTTTCAATGACTAGTCTCTGAACCAGGTTTGGAATAGGAAGGCTCATTAGAGTCTAATTTCACTGCATCCTCATGCGCTCCTCCCAGGTAGGTGCTGCTGCTCCCACCGCCTTATAAGCGAGACCCAGAGAAGCCCAGACCTGGAGGCATCTCCAGCAACTACTACCTACTGCCAAATGGACAAAAAAAATCCATATTTTCTCTCTCTCTCTCTCTCTCTCTCTCTCTCTCTCTCTCTCTCTCTCTCAATTTTGCAAAGAGCTTTGTGCTCAGGGAAGGAAATTGGGCAGATAAGCAAGGATATGTCATTGTCAGTCCCAAAGGGATGGAGGGAATCCTGATCAGACTAACAACGATCCCTTAATCTTTTCTTTCAGCTTTTCTTTTTCTGGGAACTTTAATGTAATAACGATGACACTATTACCCATCCATTTTATAGTTAGATTTATATTTGTTAAACTCCTCTCTCTCTCTACTAAAACACAATGTCTAGTTTTATTTTATTATTTTATTTTTGGTATTAGGATTGAGTCCAGGGCACTTTACCACTGAGCTATGTATCCAGCTCATTTTATTGTTTTATTTTGAGTCAGGGCCTCACTAAGTTGCTTAGGGCCTTGTTAAATTTCTGAAACTGGCCTCAAATTTGGGATCCTCCTGTCTCAGCCTCCTGAGTCATTAGAATTACAGGTTTATGCCACTGTGCCTAGCAATATCTATGCCATATATGCCCATCTACACATACATAAAATATTTTTAAATTTTAAAACAATTAAAAATAAAAGAAAAATTGCCTCTGGGTCTGTCAACAACATCCCCATAGATTATTCCAAGTCCAAGCTGACTTCTGTAAGTTTCTAGGACATCTAGGCATCCAAGAGGTAGGCAGGGATCCCAGAGCCCGGTACCATAGTGGGGTAATAGGAGAAACTGTCTAGGATGCTTGTGGCTTAACTTTGGTCGACTGACATGAAGAAGCTCAGAATCATCAGGATGTTGCTACAGAGTCTGGGTCATCCAGACTCACCAACATCCGGTGGATTTGGTGTAAACAAAAAAATAGGAGGTGGAGAGGAATACTAACCAAATCATTTCAACAAGGGTTCAGCAGCACATGGCCTCATTGGAGACATTATGACTCAAGCGAGTTGGAACTGCACAATGCCATGGTATGTCAAGCTGCAGTCCTGCAGGGGCTGAGGCACTGTCTGAGAGTCAGGAGGTCTCCTGGCATGGGGGCAAGGGCCTAGGCACTGGGCTAGGTTGCACAGAAAGGCTGGATCAGCTGCTAGAGAGCCACAGTGATTAGGACCATTTCAACAGAGCTGAGAGCAGCCCCAGCCCTGCTTGGGGTTACCTGCTGCCATAGAAAGCCAGCGCCCAAGGCCTGAGTCCAGGTGTGAAGGGGCCCAGAGTTCTGTGGCTTGAGAACTTAAAGTACCAGAAGAGATAGGCAGAGACTACAGGGGGCAGGAGAAAGAGGAGATAGGAGCTAGCTAGGAAATGTCAAACATAGACGCCCTGGGGTTCCCCTCCTTGCCAAGCCACTCTCTGAACTGCCACCACGCCCCATGTGCTTGTGGGTCTCAGCTGCACATTCTGTTGACCCCCATTTGCAAAGGCCCAGACAGTATACTCCCTTCCTTCTCCTCCCCACCCGCTTCCTATAACATATCCCTGCCCCTTGAAAACAGCAATCCAGGGAGGTTGCAGCTAATGAGGCCATACCTACCTGAAAGAGCAGGGAGCAGGTTCGTGGAGCCCAAGAGTACTCCTCTGTGAGGTCTCACAGATGCGTCCAACCAAGGACCCTAAAATGAAGAAGGGGAGACATTTTATCTAGTCTTGTGCTAATCTCCCAGGCAGTCTTCCAAGGAGCACAAGGTACAGATTCTTTCCAGGGATGTTAGGCCTCAAACCAGGGACTGAAAACTTGAGACTGACATGGGGGCAGATATGCCATGTTGTCATTGGAAGAGGTGATGGGGTGGGAGGTGAGTGGCACCCAGAGGCAGGGAGCAGCATGAAGGAGTGGGAAGGGTTGAGGGTGGCAACTAGAACTGGGCAGATGTGGACTGGGGATGTAGCTCAGTGATAGAGCACTTGCCTGTATGCGTGAGGTACTGGGTTTAATCCCTAGCACCACAATAAACAAATAAATAATCAAACAAACAAATAAATGAATGAATGAATGAACAAACTGGGCAAATGCAAACAGCCCCCCCCCACTTAGGCCCTCCTCCTCAACTCATAGCTAAGGGAGGAAGGACCTTTTTCTAAAGGAGATCTGTTCATTCCACTGCTCCCATCCCTAGGTTTTGAGGATGCCCTGAGAAGCAGAGCCATAGGGTGGCCTGGCACACTGCTGAGAGGGGGAAGGAGATTGTTTCCCAAGCAGGATGGCAGAGGAGTCTCCAGAAGCTAGGAACCACTAGGGCTGAGATGGCTGCCCGGGGTCCTGGCCTCTTGGGATGGCTTCAAAGGCAGGTGTCTGGGTCTCCTGTCTGTGGAGCCTGGGTGTAGGCGGAGCAGATGCTGCAGGGGTTAAAAACAGCAACATATTGCTTTCAAACAGGATGTTTCCTGCCACTTTTAGCTCTTTCCCAGACATGCCTAACACTCCAGCCTTAGTAAAGGCTGAGGGAGGGCTGATTCTGGTGCCCAGACTCTGGGTCTTAGTGGCATGACAAGTCACCAAGGTGGAGCTGGCAGAATTTCACCCTCCCCACTTCTACCCATGAGACAGACAGATACACGCGCGCGCACACACACACACACACACACACACACACACACACACACTTCCTCCCTTTCTTGATGTATTACTGGGGAAATACATAGCTATGTAACCCAACCCTGAACCTTGGCAAAGGCCTTTGAGCCAAACCGCAGGTGGGGAGGGTCTTGTCACTCAGGTTTTGCTTCCCTTCAGAAACCTCTCTCTCCTAGTGACCTGACTAGACAGGGAAGGGGAGAGCTCCAAGGGGCTTCCAAGACTTGGGGACAATCCTAGAACTGCTAGCCACTGAGCCCATTTTCCACCTGTCAGGTACTGCCAGCCCCCAGGGAACATCCAAGGAAAATGCCAGTGGAGCCCAAGAGTACTCCTCTGTGAGGATGACTGACGAGCTGAGTGGGTTGGATTACTACTTCCCAGGGCCATGGGTGGTGGGAGGTATGCCTGCTAGGGACATGCTCTCCTTTGCTCCCTCTGCTCACATGACCCATGTCCCCTGGCTGACCATGCTCTTCTGGATTCTACTCAATATCCTTATGGATTTCTTGGGCTCTCTACCCAATCTTCAGGAAGACTGGGGTGAGAACAAAGTGGGAACAGAGAGGACCACTGCTTTCCTGTCCTCAGATCCTAAGGTTTTTAGAGGTCAGAGGTGATAACTACTCTTGAACTTAAAAAAAAAAAAAAGTTACAAAGTATCCACAGTGTGCCTGCCAAGCCTGGTAAGTGCTGCACCCTTTATTACAATTAACGCTTACAACAGTTCTGGGAGGTACAGAGTAGTCCCATTTCAAAGGCGGCAAAATCAAAGTTTGGGGCACTTTGAGTGACTTGCCAGTCCCAGGGCCAGGCAAGTGGTGGTACCAGGCAAGGCCAAATGAGGGCAGGCTGATGGTAACACCAAAGTTCTTCCTTGGCCTCCCATTTCCATTGATGATCATCAGAGCAGGCACCTATTGCTCTGTACTGGGTCCTGCTCCAAGTTCTTCATGCATACTTACTCATTTAACCCTCACCACAACCTCATCAGGAGGGTCCTGTTATTATCTCTATCTTAGGGATGGAAAATGGAAGCATGGGAAAGTGGATCATCTTTGGAGCCAGAGTTTGAAACAAGGCAGCTTAGCTCTGAGTCTCCACTCTGCTACATTTCCTAAGAGAAATATTTTAATCATTTCCCCAGCCCCAATCCCTGGACACCCTTCACCTCCACGAAGTCAGGGAACAATGCAGAGAACAATCTCCCGGTCATGAGGGAAGAATGTTGTGGCTCTTTTCCTTCCAAGGATCCCCAGGCCAGGGGATGGCAGGCTTCAGTCAGGATCTGCTTTCCACCAATCAGCCCCTCATCTGGGGAAGCTCTGTTCAACAGATGGTCCCTTCCTTCCCACTCAACTTTTCAGTACTGGATGACTCTTTTAGGAGCGATTACCGTAGATTGAACTTCCAGATTCAAGTGCAGATTGATAAGAAAGTAGAGCAAAGACACAGAATTGAAAAGAGGACAGGTCATAAAAATCACTTCATGTTCCCCTAATCACGTCATGCGCTCTCCCACACCCACCAGCAATCATGTTCTGAGTACAGAAAATATCCCACTGCTTTTGCAACCCCTTCCTGACCCTGCTTTAGAAATACTGAAACCCTCAGCACTGAGCTTTGGAGAAGCAGGAGGAAGGAGCCCAACTCTGCAGAAAGTCTCTTGCTTCCATTCCTCCAGAGACTAAATCTCACGTCCAAACCTCTCTGTGACCCTGGCCTTGACCCCAGTCCTGGCAAGAAATGAGAAGATCATGTTGTTCCTTCCAGTCACGGAAACCACAACCACTGCCTGCCAACTCACACAGCAGGCACCCGTCTTCCGGCAGCTTCTGTTCAATGGGCATCCTTGGGAAGAGCCTTGCCCAAGATTTTTTTTTCCAGAAGTGGTTTTAGGGTGTCCTGAGAAGACAAGGATCAAAATCTTCATCTCCTTCCTGCCCTGGGCTCATTTTAACTCTACCACATTGATTGGACCTGCCTCTGAGTCCTGAGGATGGTATGGCTATGACTCTGAGGAGGACCCAGGGGTGGACAAGAGGCTTACCACTAATGTCTTTTCCAGCTCTGAAAGTGTGTGACTCCAAGACCAGAATTCCCATCATGATGAGGACTTCAATGAAATGCATTCACGGAGCTTTCTCCCTGACGCCTCAGACGAGACCCAACACACCTGTCTGAGCAACTGAGAACTACTATCCTCAGACGCTAATAACCAGGAAAGGCATGAAAGATGTGGCCCCAATGAACCCCAGTGGATAATGGGTACCCAGGAGTAGGGTTCTCAGTCAGGACGGGACCTGAGTAATCAAAACTGGAATTTCTAATTGTTGACATTGGCTCAAAGTTCCCACTCCTTCTAGAAAGAAATAGAAAGCTAAGCAATTTCACTACAGAGAAAGAGTTTTTTTTTTTTTTTTTCCTTAAAATTGGCACACACAGGGGCTGGGGTTGTGGCTCAGCAGTAGAGTGCCTAGCAAGTGCGGCGCTCTGAGTTCAATCCTCAGTACCACATAAAAATAAAATAAAGGTATTGTGTCCAACTACAACTAAAACAGAATATTTTTTTAAAAAAAATTGGCACACACAGAGGGAACCACATGTGGGACTCTCTCTGGAGCAGACAGGTCTGCGTGTCCACCCTTCTTGACAATTTTCATTTCATCATCCTTTTGGCTTGGCCCATGGCATGCTGAGCACTGTGTGACCTACCCAGCTCTTCATCTTTCATCTCTTTATTCTATCATGTAACTGAAGCATAGTGTTATCATGGCTAGCTAAGGTGATGCCCTTTCTTCCTTCTCTACCCCTCCCCCGCCAGCATGTGCCCATTTTCTTTTCCAGAACAATCTCAGCATTATTTCCCCCACCAAAAAAAAAAAAAAAAAAAAAAAAAACTGGCAGGGGGATGCTGTGGGCAGAGAAAAAATAAGGGAAAGAGGGGAGAGGATGTACTGTATAAATAGTCAGTCGTATGTAAGCTCCTACTTTGTCCTACTGTCTCCCCAGCTCCTCCATACATATATATTTTTAGACATGGGTGAGAATGGTTGAAAATCATTTTCTACAGGCTACAAGATCCAAAGCAAAAACAACAGATATTAGTCATTCCAGGAAATAGCAAGATTAGAAGACAATTTAGCACTACCTTTTCCAACCATCTTAAAATCCCTTCTTATTCTAAACAAAGGGTTTCCTGGCCTGTGCTTGAATATGTGTCCTAATGGAGAGCCATCTCCCATGGCAATCCACTCTCTCTGAATGACTGTATGCTTATAAAATGCATCACTATGCACAGCTGAAATATTCCCTGTAGCTTTCAGTTGCTGGTCCTAGACCAGCTCTGTATAGCTACAGAAGATGAACCTACTAGGCCATTTACACAAGGCCTCTAGAGGAGCACTTGGAGGGGCCACCAATTGGTATCACTGTGAAAATTAGAAAAAGAAGCTTAGTCCTCAGTACACTTTTCTCCCATCAGTCAGAAAGTTGTCATTAAAAAATACAAAAATCTGCGGGGCACGATGGCACACACCTGTAATCCCAGCAGCTTGGGTATCTGAGGCAGGAGGATCACAAGTTCAAAGCCAGCCCCAGCAAAAGCAAGGTTCTAAGCAACTCTGTGAGATCCTATCTCTAAATAAAATACAAAATAGGGGTGGGGATGTGGCTCAGTAGTTGAGTGCCCCTGAGTTCAATCTCTTTTTACCCACCCCCACCCCAAAATCTACAATGCCCATGTTTGTAGTAGGGGGAGAAGGAGAAGATGGAAGATAGCCTGGGCTATCATTAATTTTGAATGAGTAAGGCAGTTAAGTGCAGACCACATCGGCCACAGCAGCCTTCACCTGGGAAGCAGCTCCCAGCACAGGGAAAGGGCTCTTGGAAGCATGTACATAGCTGCCTGTGCTCCTGCCAATGCTCCCTGTCTCCTCTATCTGCAGTTCTGTGGTTTCCGGGGAAGATGGCCCTCAGTACCACAGCCCAAAGCACATTTGTAAGGCCTACCAAACATACTTACCCACCAGCTGAGCA